GCGCGCGCGCGCGCGCGGCGCGTGTGTGTGTGTGTGTGTGTGTGTGTGTGTGTGTGTGTGTGTGTGTGTGTGTGTGTGTTATAATGATATAGTAGCGTCATATCAAAAATGTCTCTGAATATTATCTATAAAATTTTCTCAGTCTAAGAAATAGCGTTTCCCAAATGTCACGTAATCTTACGGAAAATGCGGAGGGAAATAAACATAATTACAGTGCGCCTCTTGTCATCGAGGGAGCTGCTGAGAGGGCGGTCGTTGTTATGTTATTCGACGGATTCTTCTGGCCAGGCAGCTAGTACGTTGTATACCGCTCGTTAGAATGAAATGGTTCTCCCAGGTAGAATGGTAGCACGGAGAATTAACTTTTAGCGCGGTACAAGTACTTAGCTCGCGCGCAAGAACCTGTGCACCACTGTTTTTACCGTTCGGAAGAAATCTTATTGTCCCCTGTAAAATCCAGTTAATCGTTGAAACCCGATGCTCGTTAAAAATGGCGCGGATGCGATTATGTTCCGTACGGTAATTCTGTATTATCCAATTATGTGGCGGGGAGATCATCCGGCATAGATCTTTCTCAAAGCTTGAAAAATTAGGACATGCTAGGAAGATCGTAGAATAATTAAAGAAATCTTCTTGTTATATGTTTATATTTTACTAAATACACTTGTTCCGCTTATCTTATTTATTCATATTGAAAACGTAGATTACGTAGCGTTAGAAATCATATTTAATATTTTATGATGATAAATGTATACGTACTGTTTGTTAGTTACTCGTGACTAAAAGCATTTATAAGAAGTGAATTTTAAGTTTTAATTATTTGAAATCGTCGAGCATAAGTATAATGATTGTGAAGGTTTTTGATGGAACATCAAAATGGAGCGAGATAGGAATCTTGCCGACCGCGAGGACATTTCTGTGGACATTTCGCCAAGCGGCTTGGTAAAATGAACGCTTTAATCACTCCTCAATTATCCGTTCGTGGATGAAATTTTAATTTATGACGCGATAAAGTTCTAAAGAGTCGTGCCCGCGCGTGCAAAATTCGTTCGCTTTATGCACTCTCAATTTGAAAGTTTCAGTTTGACCGTTAAGCCCCTCGGAGGGAAATGACGGGGGTGGAGGGCGGAAGCTGGGATGGAAAAGGAGAAAGTGAGGGTGGAAGGAAGAGACTGGAACTGCGGAGGAAAGTGTTGGGGCGACGGGGGAACATCGTATTAAATCGGAAGATTGGAATTCTAATTAATACTCGCGGATTATCGATAAAAGGGCGAGGGAAACGGGCACGTAAAGGGGTGAGGAGGAGAGGAGCGGATGGCGGAACGATGACTCGTTCCGTTCGTTTCATCCTTCGCGCGTCTTCGACACTCGTCTTAATGTCTTTCCTAACTCATCCCGAGGTAGGAATAGATTATATCGTAATGAAAATCTTGACGTTTGACGTTCTGCAATTGATGACTCCATTCTCCCATTCTATTCATTTAATATCTAGCACATCGATGCGTATATTAAAACACGCTTGCATCAAAATACACAACATATAAAATTAAAATAGGATTATAATCTGAAACCAGACGCGCCAAACTCTAAAATGAGTTTCATCGATTTTATTAAATTGATGATAACGGAAATGTTATTTATTTTTATTTGTGAATGACAAGTTTTAATTGCATTTTATTTCAGTACGTAATACAATTTTAGTACGAATCGTTCTGCACATTTTTCGTACAGTTTACTCTGCCGCCGCTAACATCAAACAATGCAACGTCAAGCGCGCGTCGTGAATTCTTTCGGCGGATGGAACAGCGCATCTGGCGACAGCTGCGATATAATTTTGCGAAACCTACCGAATTGTGCCGTACATTGCATATCCCAAAGGATTAGTTACGCGCATGCGTTTTCTCATATTTTCCAATTTTGGCCTTTATTTGTTGGTGAATAGCATGCTAAAAATACACAAATTACTATGACAAAAATATATGAAATGGAATCTGACAAGAACAGAGGGATTGATAGCTCAACAAGCTTATTTTATTCAAATTCAATTTCTGCACAATCATAAAAACAAAT